AGCAATTAACTAAAAATACGAGATTCTTCATTTTGTGTAAAGTTTATTCGTAGGAATTTGAATTTATTACACTTTGATCATCGAAACGATTAAAAACAAAATTCAAAGAACACATGATCCTTTTTCATGACACAACTGTCAAAAGTCAACGAAATAATACACCACCCAATATCTTGAAATCACAGAATATTTTAAATTACTTATTAATTACTATCAACGGTCGTTTAAATACTAGAGTAATAGTGCCTCGACTTATTTCAATCGAGCGTAGAATTAATGGAGAGACTACTGATCCCTGAAACAACAGAGAAATTGCAAGGAGTGTCTTCGGTAACGAAGTCAGACATTTCGTCTCTAGCACCTTGTGGAATGAGGTCCTTCCTCCGGGTAATGTGCCCTGGAGAATAACTTGGGGATAACGTGACATTGTAAATGCGCCTGGAGTCGTCCGGAGGTATTGACGAAAAGTCCTTGATTGAGATCGGAGCCTGGAAGTTAATTCATAGAACTGAGTAAATCTATTCCTGAATCAATTAAATAAATAGTTATCAATTTAATTGTGCACCTTGGGCATTCCAGAACGAATGCACTGTGCAAGTATCATCTCCTCTTCCTCCTCAGAGAGGCTGGAGCTTCCCTCGGACTCTGGTGACTTCGGCTCCCCCTTCCTGGGGTTCTCAAAGCTTTTTTTGATCTTCTCAGATTGTCTGGACGTGGAGGGTTTCGAAAGAAGATTCAATTTAGCCTTGGGCATGGCAGACTCGATGCACTCGGCGAGGATGGCATCGTCGTCGGACTGATTAGGGCTATCGTCCGAGGAATTATTGGACTCTGGATCCTGCCCGATGATCATCCGAGGTCGAGGCTGGCGGCTCTCATTCAAGGTCGAAGATAGGAAGCCCTCGCACTGAGTCGATCTCGCCAAGCTGGGGCTGATGGGTTTCGACATTCCCGACTGGATGCACTCGTCGAGGATCTTCTCGTCGTCGCCGGAGTTGGAGCTGTTGTCGGACAAGTCATTGAGGGACTCCCTCTCGGGTTTCTCGAAGTCCTCCATGATACTGGGCATCGACAACGCAGACAAATTCGACTGGGAGCCAACGGGGGAGATATCCGCTGGTGTATCCTCTGTGCAATAAATGTGCACTGTATCCGGAGTAATTACTGGTACGTCGTGGGCTAATTTCGGTTTCATGGAGGTCTCCCTTCCCTGACAAACTGCAGAATCCAATCTGTCGAGTGTTGAGCTCGTCTGATAACGAATGAGATTAGTCACCGACGTGGGGTAGGTCTTCGGGGGCTCCTTCTTGAAATTCTCCCTGTACCTGTTGTTCTGCATTCCCATGCTGATGCAGGCGGCGAGAATGTCCTCGTCGTCCTCTCCATCACAATCACTCACTTCATGGTCCTTGTCACTGACAACCACCTGGGG